TGCAGCAAGCCCGTGTTGGGCGTCTGTTGGGGCAGTGGGTAGTCGGCCGTGTTAGGCCGAGAGAGAGAGGTAGAGATTGAGATTGCGTTGGCGTTGGAGAAAGCGTTGGAGAAGGAAACTTGATTGGAGAGAGACGGCGGTAGCGGTGGAGAGAGCGAAAGCAGTGCGCTAGATGCGCGAGCCTTCAACACCGCAACCAAGGCCAAAAGGGTCCCCGTATCTGCATCGGTGGTACCCATCAACATACGAAATTCTCAACACGTATCCCCGAGGATCCTCACGTCTAGAGACTGCTGCGAGTATATCTTACACCCCTTGTATCCCAGGATAACTTACCGATCATGGACATGAGCATGTGTCTGGATGTTGGGTTGATGGATGCCAAAGAATTCACTGAATCTGCGGTGCCCCCCTGCATTTGCTATGCAGCATGAGGAGTTGGACGTGTTGAGATGTTTTCTTGCAGAATGCAGTGAGCAGCAGACAGTAGCCCCCCCCTTCCTCTCGCATGCCTTGGCGATTGTCGCCCCTGTGCTTCCCCATTTTCGGTAGAAAAATCCACGTCCACCATCGACATAAATTTGTTCCATGCCTCCACCGGCCATGTAAACGAATTCTTGATGCGTTAAACGGCCAAGCAGCAGGGCGTACGACTGGTGGGGGAGATGAAGCCGTGTGTGGGCTGCGTGGAGGCGAAGGGCAGGCGGGCCCCGGTGCCGCGGCGTAGCACCCGCGCGGCGGTACCGTTCGGCAAGGTCCACATCGACCTCACGGGCCCGTCCTCTGACGCGCTGGACGTCTCCCGATACCTGATCATGTTCGTGGACAGCGCATTGCGGTGGCAACGGGGATACGGGATGCGGGCCAAGAGCGACACCCTGAAGTTCGTGCAGCGGTCCCTCGCCGACATGAACGGCATGGGCACTCCGGGGTGTTTCCGCATGGACAACGGCGGCGAGTTCACCGGCACCGCGTTCACCACGTTCTGCGACACTGCTGGCATCCGGCGCGAGTACACAAGCCCCGACACCCCCAAGCAAAACGAGGTGGTCGAGAGCGCCATCTGGCGCGCGATGAAGGGGTGCCACGCCACGCGACGTCACATCCTCGCCATGGGTCACACCGACCTGCCCTCCATCCCCAAGGTCGGCGTCGACGGCCATCGCCTGTGGCTTGCGTCGGCGCTGTGGGCATCCGCCTGCTTCAACCGCTCCGCGACGAAGGCCAACGTGGACTGGGTGTCGCCGTTCGAGGCCTTCTTCGGCCGGAAGCCGCCCCTCACCGCCGTCCCCTTCTTCCAGGAGGGGAGAATGCGCGTGAAGCGGGCCACCAAGGCGGACGTCCAATCCGTGCGGTGCTTCTACCTGCACGGCGACAACAACCACTCAACATCTCCCGCCGTCGTTCTTCGTGCTGACACCGGTAGCCTCGCCCTCACCAACAACGTTGTGTGGGTCAACCGCCGGGCAGGAGCGCCGGCGCCGGTGCCGGGCATCGGGGGGGGTTCTTAGGTCGCCGCGGCGCCCTCGCCGGCCGCCGCCGTACCTGCGGCCGATGCCGCACCGCCGCCGACCCCGCCATCAAGGACGTACACGTACACCCCGCCTGCACCAGCGACCACCGCACCGCCGCCGCCCTCTTCCCCGGCGATCTTCACAGGATCCTCAGCCCCGTCGCCGATCTCCGTCGTCCCATCGTTACCCCCACCGTCGACCGCAGCCACGCCGCCCCGTTCGCCCCTGGGTCTGCCGCCGCCGCCGCCGCAGACCGCCAGCGCCGCCGCCCCCGCTCCTCCGCCCCCGCCGCTTTCGAAACGATCCGTCAAGGAGTTGGGACGAGAGGACAAGAGGGTTCACGGCCGCACGCGCGGCGATGGAGTGGGTTTCATGGATGAACAATAACAACCGCCGTCGCCACCCGGTGGCGGCACCGCTCTCCACCACCGCCTTGGGCTGTTGGACATGATGGATAAGGCCACCCTCATCTCGTCGCTCGCCACCCGGGAGGCCGTGGATCAAGGACGCCGCGACCTACCGACCCCGCCGCAACTGGATCCGAGTCTTGGGTGCCGTGGAAGCGGGGGGGGTGTGGGAGCTGGGGGGCCCGTGGATTCCGGGAGGGGGGGAGACCGCAGATATTCGCAACGATGTTCGCCACCCGCGAGGATGTGGACGCCGCTCTTCGCGCCGAGCGCCCGCCCGACAAGATGCCAGACCTTCCTCACTGCCTCGCCAGCGACCTCCGCGTGCCGAAAACGTTCAAGGAGGCCATGCGGTACCAACATTCAGAATTGTGGAATGATGCAGTCGATCGAGAGTTTTTCGGTTTGCTGGATGCAGGAACTTTTCACAGGAACTTTTAGTCCGGTGTAGCAACCAGTAGAGAACGCCATCAATGCTAAGTGGGTCTTTAATTGTAAGGCAGACGAGTACGGATGGCCGACGAAATTCAAGGCATGCAGACGGCTTTGATTGTTTTGGAGAATTGTTTGCACCCACCGTTTCAGTGTCTAGTGTGCGCTTGTTAGCAGCATTAGCAAGTGAGCAGAATCTTGACTTGTGCCATTTCGATATTCAGCAGGCTTTTGTGCAGTCTGAGCTTGGTGAGGATATTCTCATGCGCTTACCGCAGGGGTGTGGTAGGTTGTCTGGCCTGATCGTGAAGCTGTGCAAGAGTCTGTATGGTTTGAAGCAGGCGTCACGACATTGGCGTGCGCACCTGACGAGGTGTTTGTTGCTTTTAGGTTTTTGCAGTGTTTGGCAGATGCATGCGTTTTTCGATTGATGGAGGAGGGACGTGTGATCATGATCATCGTGGTTCACGTGGATGACAATTTTGCCGTAGGGCAGAAGGAGAGGTGTGACAAGTTTGGCAGGGATCTCAACGCGATGGTCCCCGTGAAGAACCTGGGAGAGTTGAGGTGGTACTCCGCGTGCTTTTACAAGAGAGACGTAGAGAGCGGGCTGTTGAGGATTCGCAGCAGAGGTTTGCCGAAGAGTTGGCTGCAGAGTACGGCGTTGAGTGGGGGAGGAGCGTGCCCTTGCCTGTGAGCGTGAAGCTCACCGACTTTGACGAGAACGAAGCGTGCGCTGATGTCCCTTTTCGCGAGTTGGTAGGATCCCTGATGTGGATGGCCACTCAAACAAGGCCGGACATCGCGAACGCAGTACGAGCAGTAGCGCGGTATTGTGCATCTCCCAAAATGGTGCACTGGAAGGCAACACTCGGTGTTTTAGGGTACGTATGGACGACGAGTTGGATGGGGATTACATTTGAGAGGGGAGTGGTGACTAGGATGAGAATGCAGGTGTTTGTGAATGCCGACTATGCAAGCAAGGCGACAGACCGTAGATCGGTGTCAGGAGGGCTAGTGATGTGTGGGGGAGGGTGTGTGACTTGGTTTTCGAGGACGCAGAAGTGCGTTACGCTTTCCACCACGGAAGCAGAGTATATGGCAATTGCCGATGTCTTGAAGGAAGTGTTGTTCCTGAGGCAGGTTTGGCGTTGTACGTTGCCAGATGCAGGTATGCCGTGCATCCCGGTGTTCGAGGATACTCATGGCGCGATTCAGATTGCACACAATCCGATCACGAACTCCAACTCGAAGCACATCGATGTACGGCATCACTTAATCAGGGAGCTGGTAGAGAGGAAGGAGATTTCATTTACTCATGTGCCGACGCAATTTCAGCATGCAGATTTCTTGGCGAAGGCTATTAGCAAGGATTCTTTTGCGTTGCACCGTGACTTTGTGATGAACTTGCAGTGAAGGAAGTGTTTTGGGGTCGATTCGTGTTCTGTCAGAGAAGAGAGAACGAGAGAAACGAGGTTGGACAAGAGAAAGAGAGAGTCTGGTGAAGGTGGTAAGAGTGTTGGAGTTGTGGTGGGGTTTTTCTTGTGATTGTCTTGTAGGGCTTTTTCTTGTGATTGTTTGCCGAAGCATGACGATGCATACGAGCAGGGGGGCTATTCGATATATTGGGGGTACTCGTAGCACAGTATGACGGGATATCTTCGGTACGTACGTACGGAATTTGCAGTGATGAGATGTGGAGGAATCAGAACTTTCTGGGTATTTTCCTTGGAAGTGAGAAGCGTTTGATGGAGGTTCAGAGAGATCCGTTTGATAGTTTGAGCGTGATGAGCGTGACGCGTGCTTGATGCCGTGACAGATTTACGAGCGCGAGCGCGCCCCCGAAGAATACAACACGTTTTCCCACCACGTTTTCTACCCATCTACGGCCCGTGAGCCACCCAAATTATCGACCAGGGACAGCTGGACGCCCAGACAGAGTTCCGGTACCTGGGTGGCAGTGTCAGAAAAGACGACGGGCTGACGCAGGAGAGCAACCACCGGAGCCTAGCCGCATGTATATGCATGCACCCACGGGAACTCGCCGACAGAAAGCACCGTGGAGACCGAAGGTCCGACGCCCGAAAGTGGCGGCAATGGAGGCCCTAGAGGTCTGACGTGGGCCCAGTGCCGCGCCCATTCACTACACTACCGGAGCCTTTTACGAGTTATCGCGTACCGCCCAACGAGCGACATAAATCGGCAGCTTCGCCCCGCCCATACCTTTTCAGAAGACCGATTGCCATAGCATGGCCATCGTCCGGCCACGGCGACTGCTGCTCGCAAGAGCCTTCGCCGGACAACCGACGGGCGAATCCCGAAGGCGTGAGAGGGGGGAAATCCCGGCAAGGAGTGTCTAGAGCAGTATACTGGCTGAAAGTGCCTGAAGGACGACTTCCAAGCGTTCGACGTCACAGCTGAATCGACAGACGACGCCAAGAGAACGTTCGGGATCCCTCGTGTCATGTGGACTTACTCTTATGGCGTAGGCGGAGGAGGGGGGTGCCTTGGTACGCTGAGGTGCTTTGGGGGGCAGAGGGGTTCATGGTCACCTGACACAAGGAGAAAGAGAAGGCCAATTGACTGCATGCTGCTAAACGGGACAACGCAGGAGATGTTAAGAAGGAAAACGACAACCAAGGGCGCGCGGGCGGGAGGCACAGGGGAATAGAACGACCCCATTCGAGGAGGCGACGGTCCCTGAGGAGAGCAGGACGGGAATAGCAGGATGAGCCGGCATGAATATCAGCCATAGACTATGCCCCCCTTTGATCTCCTTTCATTGACCGTCTTCCTTTTCGCTCACGGCCCCACGTGCTGTAGTCTATTTGGTTTTTCGACCATTTTTCCGATTTTGCGTCAGTGCGTGTCTGTGTACGGCGTGGATGGGCCTGGCTGGCGAGGGCCCTGTGTGTGCAGCACGGACTTTCCCCGAAGAGTAGTCTATGGGGTTGGGGTTGTTCGTGTGTCTGGATACGAGCATGGTAGATCTGCTAGCAGCACGGGGGGGTACCTAGACAGGAGCATGCGTATGCCTGAAAAAGGCTACTATGTGTGGGCCCCCTTCTGCGAATTCGGGACGGCCACTTCTTCCCTTCCTTTCCTCGCTCCCGCGGGTGCCTAATCAGAGAGAGTTAAAGCGTGTCTTCTCCTCCCAAGTACGGACATACCAACACACTAGTGTTTATTTCCTCGAGGGAGTCCATTAGGGGTGGCGGGCCGCAGAACCGGAGGGACCACTCCGGACGGCTCGCAGGCAGGAGACACAAATAGCAGCGAGCAGATCGACAGCATGCGGTCTGAGATCAGTTCGCTGACACAGCAAATGGGCCAGCTGGTGCAGCTGGTCGGAGGACTTGCTGCACGTATAGAGGAGAAGTCCGGCGGTGCCACGGAGGGCGCCGCTGAAAGCGGCGGCCCCGTGGAGAGCGTCGCCACAAGCACTGCAGGTCATTTTGGGACCGTGCAGTACGACGGGAGCG